TATATCCAAAGCCTTCCCCTTTACACCATTCCTTTAGCCACATATTGAATTGTGCTATGCGCTGGCCTTTTCCGTTTTGCTCCTTATACAATGGTAAAACCTCTGAGAAAGTAAGCCTACAGCCTATTCTGCTAAGTTCCTTCCCCAAGCTCTGGAAATCATTCTGCACAGAGAGTACATCTTTTTGGGACAGATCATTAGTGCCAAGGTGTACAATAGCCTCCACATCACAGAATAGAATAGAATAGAATAGAATAGAATAGAATAGAATAGAATAGAATGGAATGGAATGGAATGGAATAAAATGGAATGGAATGGAATAGAATAGAATAGAGCAGAAATGGAATAGAGTAGAGTAGAGTAGAATAGAATAGAATAGAATAGAATAGAATAGAATAGAATAGAATAGAATAGAATAGAATAGAATAGAATAGAATAGAATAGAATAGAATAGAATAACAGAAGAGCTGCCATTTGCTCTTTGAGGAGTACAGGAGATCCCTCAGATTTGGATGCATGATTGGTTCCCCGAGGCACTCTTTCCAGTGCCTCAAGATCCATTTTATGTTGTGTATTTTGGGCGAAGTCCAAGCCCTGAACTATCGAGTGGAACTATACATTCCTATGCTCTGAACATTATATGTTTATTGATGCAGGCTTGGTTTTCTGGATGGGTGTAAACAATGGATTGATGGCTTATCTTGGTAATAAAACAATAATTTAAGTTTTATTAATCAGATTTATTTTTATTCATTTGTTCTTTATTTATTAATAAATGGGAGACTTATTAATCACAATCAATTAAAAAGCCATTTAAAATACAAATACAAATAATACAAACACAAATGTTAAAAAAACCATTTAAAATACAAATACACTTATATTTGTTTTCGTGTTTCTATTTGCATTTTAAATGGCTTTTTAATTAATCTGTGATTCATACATCTTCTGTTTATTAATACATAATAAATTAATAAAAATAAACGTGATTAATATTACATTTCAATCTTTCACACTGAAATGTAAACAAGCAGATATTTCAGGGGCTGCCACAAAGAAGAGGAGGGGGTCAACTTATTCTTCAGAGCACCTGAAGGCAAGAGAAGAAACAATGAATGGAAACTGATCAAGGAGAGAAGCAACCTGGAATTAAGGAGAAACTTCCTAACAGAGAGGACAATTAACCAATGGAACCGCTTGCCTCCAGAAGCTGTGGGTGCTCCATCACTGGAGGTTTTTAAGAAGAGACTGGACAACCATGTGCTTGATATGGTATAGGCCAGTGGTTCTCAACCTTTTTAATGCTGCGACCCCCCACCCGGTCGTAAGTCGAGGACTACTCAACCGGTCGTAAGTCGAGGACTACTCAACTGGTGCAGCACCGTTTGCAGAATGGGACTTTTGGCAGGCTCAGCAGGGCAGAGACAGCCTGGACAATTCCTATTGGCTTTTGAAAGCCAATAGAATGAGACTCTATTCAAGAGAGTCTATTCTATTGGCTTTCAAAAGCCAATAGAATAAAAGGGAGTAGCACAACTAAGGAAAAGGGGGGGAAATGGCGACTGCGTTGTTTGGCAACCCCCATGAAATGGTCATTTGACCCCAAATGGGGTCCCGACCCACAGGTTGAGAACCGCTGTCTTAGTCCATGGATGGCTTCCTGAAACTCCCATTTCTTTCCCCCTCCCCCCTCCCCCCCCCGTTTCTATGGCACATTGAGCAGCTACAGAGGTTAGCAAGCATCTTAGCAATTCAACCTTGACAACAAGAGACACAAATATGTTTTCCTCCTTTTCGTGTATGAAGTGAAGTATTGCTAAGGGGATAGGATGTTACTCTTCCTTGCAATTATTGGAAGAACAGTAATTCTTACTGTACCCCCTGTAGATTTCCTCCCACAAAAGGAGAAAAGAAATAAAGTTCTGAATTCTCCCAATGCCGACTGGATATGTCACCTTAGCTTATCTTGCAAAGAAGCCATTTCTTGAAATCAGTGACATTTAATTGCCTTCCATTTTCTCTTTGGTGGCAACTCAAAGCATGTAAGCCAAAGCATACTTGACATTAAATGCCCATGCAAGGCCATCCACATGGCACAGCCTGTTTATTTTCTGCCAAAGCTCTGATGAGATTGCCTGGGGCAAATTCTAGGAAAATACAGTACATAAAGTTGTCCATGGTGCTTGCATTTCAGGGATTATAGCCATGATGCCCCAAAATTCAGGCAATTCCTCCTGTCTTTAGACCCCTTGAACCCTCAAGGAGAAGTCTTTCTCCCTCTATGATGGGAGATGCTTATTTGTTGCAAGATCCAGAAACCAGGAGAGATCCCTCAAAAGAGGGGAAAATAATGTACAGGAAAGGAGAATTTATAGAATCTCCCATATTACATATTTGGAATGAGCATGACAGGTTAAAAATTATAATGTCTACAATGCCATTTATACTATGGCATATGCCTTACATGAAATGCATGGATCAGGAACCCAGTCAGCCATAATGAGGTACGGAAAGAGGATTGCCAATGTCCAGTTACGACAGGTAATTGCTGGGACTTTTTATCCAGTACATGGGTAATAGAATGGAATGGAATGGAATAGAATAGAATAGAATAGAATAGAATAGAATAGAATGGAATGGAATGGAATGGAATGGAATGGAATGGAATGGAATGGAATGGAATGGAATGGAACGGAACGGAACGGAACGGAGTGGAGTGGAGTGGAGTGGAATGGAATGGAATGGAATAAAATACAGAATAGAATAGAATGGAATGGAATGGAACGGAATGGAATGGAACGGAATGGAACGAATAAAATACAGAATGGAATGGAATGGAATGGAATGGAATGGAATGGAATGGAATGGAATGGAATGAATAAAATACAGAATAGAATAGAATAGAATAGAATAGAATAGAATAGAATAGAATAGAATAGAATAGAATAGAATAGAACAGAATAGAATAGAATAGAATAGAATAGAATATGGAATGGAGAATAGAATAGAATAGAATAGAAGAGAATAGAAGAGAAGAGAAGAGAAGAGAAGAGAAGAGAAGAGAAGAGAAGAGAAGAGAAGAGAAGAGAAGAGAAGAGAAGAGAAGAGAAGAGCTGCCATTTGCTCTTTGAGGAGGTGATCCCTCAGATTTGGATGCATGATTGGTTCCCCGAGGCACTCTTTCCAGTGCCTCAAGATCCATTTTATGTTGTGTATTTTGGGTGAAGTCCAACCCCTGAACCATCGAGTGGAACTATACATTCCTATGCTCTGAACATTATATGTTTATTGATGCAGGCTTGCTTTTCTGGATGGGTGTAAACAATGGATTGATGGCTTATCTTGGTAATAAAACAATAATGTAAGTTTTATTAATCAGATTTATTTTTATTCATTTGTTATTTATTTATTAATAAATGGGAGATTTATTAATCACAGATCAATTAAAAAGCCATTTAAAGTACAAATACAAATAATACAAACACAAATGTTAGAAAAACCATTTAAAATACAAATACATTTATATTTGTTTTCGTGTTTCTATTTGCATTTTAAATGGCTTTTTAATTGATCTGTGATTCATACATCTTCTGTTTATTAATAAATAATAAATTAATAAAAATAAATGTGATTAATATTACATTTCAATCTTTCACACTGAAATGTAAACAAGCAGATATTTGAGGGGCTGCCGCAAAGAGGGGGGGGGTCAACTTATTCTTCAGAGCACCTGAAGGCAAGAGAAGAAACAATGGATGGAAACTGATCAAGGAGAGAAGCAACCTAGAATTAAGGAGAAACTTCCTAATAGTGAGGACAATTAACCAGTGGAACTATCTGCCTCCAGAAGCTGTGGGTGCTCCATCACTGGAGGTTTTTAAGAAGAGACTAGACAACCATGTGCTTGATATGGTATAGGCCAGTGGTTCTCAACCTTTTTAATGCTGCGACCCCCCAACCGGTCGTAAGTCGAGGACTACTCAACCGGTCGTAAGTCGAGGACTACTCAACTGGTGCAGCACCGTTTGCAGAATGGGACTTTTGGCGGGCTCAGCAGGGCAGAGACAGCCTGGACAATTCCTATTGGCTTTTGATAGCCAATAGAATTAGACTCTATTCAAGAGAGTCTATTCTATTGGCTTTCAAAAGCCAATAGAATAAAAGGGAGGAGCACAGCTAAGGAAAAGGGGGAAAAAAATGGCGGACTGCGTTGTTTGGCGACCCCCGTGAAATGGCCGTTCGACCCCAAATGGGGTCCCGACCCACAGGTTGAGAACCACTGGTATAGGCCATATCTTGTGGAATCAGGCTTTAGTGCTGTTAATCATATTATGACCAAAGAAAGAAACCGCCTGAATATTTCCGAAAGAGAAGACCCTTTGTTTGTTCCTTACAAAAATTGAGCCAGATATCCAGTATTTAGTTTCGCAGCATCAGCCTCAGGGATCACATTAATAATTTAATTAATGAAATGTAATTCCATCAGACTTCGTGCTTCTATGTATGCAAAGTATAAATAAAAAGATAGATTTAACTACAGTAAGTTGTTTTATAAAGATTTGTTCTGCCAAACTTAGCAAAAGTCCGACATAAAGTATTTGGTAAATAATTATTATTATATGCTTTGACTTGCTATAACTCTGCTTCATAAATTTTATAAAGTAAAGTTACTTCCCTGCTTTATAAATCACCATTACTGTGGAACCGGTGGGCGGTTGGAAAATTTTACTACTAACAGAGATACAAAAGTGGGCGGTAGGTATAAAAAGGTTGACTACCCCTAGCATAGGGTCTCCTGATTGAGCAGGGGGTTGCACTGGATGACCTCCAAGGTCCCTTCTAACTCTATTCAGATTGATTGTGTGAACACCCATCTGTGCATGCGCACATACACACACACACACATACAGAGAGAGAGAGAGAGAGTGTAATATAGTGCCATGAATATACTGTCCCAAGCCCCTGTTAAAAACCAACACACAACAACTGCAATGCTCACTTAGCTGTATTTCAAGGAAGAGTTGCCACATTTTACTTCAAGGCATAAATGTTTTAGAGTCTGATAGACAGCAATTTGGATTTATATAAAGAAAGGTAAAGCGATAGCCAGCAGTGATGTCAGGTCATTGGCCGGATCTTGAAGACATCCCAGGCAGTAGATGAAGAAGATGGCATTATTCTTCTGAGTGGTATCTAAGAGATTAGATAAAACAATACGTTGATCAAAGTGAGTTAAATGTTTCTTCTGCCTCCTGAAACCCAAAACTTATTCTCCCCTCCTTTCCATTCAGAGTTTTCCTGGAAACCCACTTCATGTTCATGTCTATGTCTTGCAATGCTTTGTAAATACAAACAATATCAGGCAGAATATCCCATTCTTAATAGAATAGAATCAAAGAGTTGGAAGGGACCTTAAAATAGGGGTGTCAAACTCAGTTTCATTGATGGCTGCATCAGCATTGCAGTTGCCCTGGGGGGGGGGGCGGGTAGGTATGGCCAGAGTGGGTGCAGCCTACTGGGTGGGTGTGGAGGGAGTGGGTGTGGCCTACTGGGTCGGCATGGCCAGCTCTTCATTGTTCCCGTCAAGGGTGCCTGTGGGGGCCTGGGCAGGAGTGGGACAGATCTGAGGTCTGTGGCAGAACGGGGTGGGACCAGGGCAAGTGCCAAGCCATGGTCCACTGGAGGAGCCTCATTGTTCTTCTCAGGCCATGTGGGGGGGATGGCTGGATGGTGGTGTGGGCTGCCCGGAGCCCTGGGCAGCAAAGATCAAATGCCCAGCCTGGCCCTCGAGCACTCGTGGCACTTCCCCAAGGGGGTGCCCAGCTGCACTTGCCTCCTCCTCAAGGCTGCTGCTGCTGTGCTTGCTCTCCTTAGCCAGGTTGTTCATGATGGGTACCAGGGCAATGTCAGAGGGAGACTGAATGTGTTTCAGCATAGATGGCCACCACAAAATTGTACATTGGCTCCCGGCCAGCCGGCCTGGGCCAGGGCCAGGGCCAAGGCAGTGGGATCCGTTCCCTCACTGTTTCCAGGATGGCTTCGTGGGCCACATGAAACCACTTCGTGGGTCGCATCCAGCCCCCGGGCCTTGTGTTTGAAATGTTTGCCTTAGAGGTCTTCTAGTCCAACCCTCTGCTCAAGCAGGAAACCCTTTACCATTTCAGGCAAATGGTTGTCTAATCTCTTCTTTAAAACTTCCAGTGTTGGAGCATTCACAACTTCTGAAGGCAAGTTGTTCCACTGGTTAATTGCTCTAACTGTCTTGTAGGAGATGACCAGGCTGAGCTCAAGGGAGTGGTCAACATGTCATAAGTCTCCAGTCCCTGTGTGCAGGAGATCTAAGTCTAGCCCACCTTGAATGCCTTTCTTATTTCCCGCTTATTTCCCTTGACTGTTAGTTGGTCAGATTCTTGTAGAGAGTCAATATAAAAGGGAAAAAAGTGACATTGCCATACGAGTATATTACAGGCCACCCAACCAATCAGAAGAAATAAATGAACTCTTTCCAACCAGTTAACAAACATATGTAGGAAGCATACCACAGTAGTAATGGGAGACTTCAACTATCCAGATATCAACTGGGAGACCAACTTCACAGAGAGTGAGAGATCAAACAGATTCTTAACTAATCTAGCTAACGACTTTATCATCCAAAAGGTAGAGGAGGGAACTAGAAGTAAAGCTATACTGGACCTAATTCTTACTAATAAATAAGAAGTGATAGAGGGAGTTGAAGTTGCCAGAACCTTGGGTGAAAGTGACCATGTCATACTGGAATTCAATATAATGCAAACACAAGCGATAGAAAATAATCTTCTTCAAAAATGCTAACAAGCCAGGTAGATGGTTAGCTTATAAATTGAAAAAAGAAAGAGAAAAAATCCCTGATAAATAAATTGCAAGATTTGAGAGGCGATTTACAATGTCAAAATGATATAATAAAAAAATAATTATTTAATTTTATGCAACACTCTATGAGATAAAAGAAATTACTCAAGAGAAAATAAGGCAGTATATAGAAAATGCTAAGCTACCAAAAAATCCCAGAGAACTTTAAAAAACATGCTAAATGGACTTCCGACTTGGCATCGCGGTGCCACAGATGTAGGAAGATGGGCTCTGTCTTTCGTGTCTGAATTCGCTCTGCTGGGGGACCCTGGAAAGGGTCAAAAATCGCCCCGTAGAGGTGACGAGCAAGGAGGGGACCCTCGTTTGATCGCGGGAGGGTGGCATCCCTTCCATTTGATCCAGGGAAGCCCTCCAAACCAGCAGAGGAATGATATGGCCAGTCACTAAGATGCTGACAGCCGAAGTCAAAAGTACCACCAAGCAACTTTCAAGCAACGTGGATGAAACTGGGTGAGACCTGATCCTCTCTTTAAGATTCTAAGTTTTCTTTCCTGTAAAAGCTGCCCAAAGCATTTTCCCCCTGTGAGGAGAGAGGGAAGGGAACCTTTACCCCACCCTCTAAGAAAAGCAGAGACTAACTACCCAGGGGAAACAGAGCAACTATAAGATTAATTTTAATCTAATTGCATGTATATTCTTTTGAAACTTGGGGACTAAAAGTGTTCCTTTTCTTATTGGAGACTTTTGTTTGTTTGTTTGTTTTTAAAAAATAAGACTTGAAAAACCACCATATAAGTTTTGCTTTAAAAGCTTAAAACGGCATTGGTGACATCTTGTGACAAATTATGGTATTACAATTTGTTATTGCCAAAAAGAGACTTGGCTTGAAGTCCAGACTTCAGACAAAATTTGTTTGACCTTGACAGTTACCACCTTTGAAAAATCCAGTTGCAAATAAGGGATTTCTGGGCAGCTTATCTGACCTACTTGAACTATGAATGTAAACTTTTACTGATTTTCAGAGCTATACTTGGGGAATTGCTTTCCTATCTCCCTGCATGAGTAGTATATGTTATTACATGAGATGATGGAACACCTTGGATTATAAAACTTGATAAACAATTTTTACTATAAAGACCACCTATAAAATGTGAAATAGATGTCCCATACCCAGCTACAAAAGACAAAAAAAATATTTTTAACGTTTGATTCTAAAGTCTTCAACTTAACATACTATCAAGAGAATGTGGATGAAGATCAGGAAAAAATCCTTTCCATGTTGAAATCAATACATGAAACCATCCTTTCAGCTTGTGACAAAATAAGAAGCACAAAGGAACTAGGTGCTAGTTTAAATATATAAATCCAGATCTTGACTACAAGCAAAGAACTAACAATGCAGAAAACAAAAGGAAAATTGGAACAACTAAATACTAAGACAGGGGACCCAATTGACCAACAGACCCAGCCAACTGAAAAATCAGAAAAGGGAGTGACAACATTGAAAATGGAAAAGATTTTTTACAAATTAAGAAATCAGAATAAATTTGAGGAAAAGGAAGAAGAACAGATTGAATGGAACATAAACCTATCAGGACAATTGTGGGAAATTGGAGTAATAGGGAGACGATTTAATGAATACCAATGGGCTCATTCTTCCCAAAAAAATTCAAATAAATGGTCTTTCTTATTCCAAATCATATATAATAAAGAAAGGGAGAACTATTTGGTGATTCAAAGGCACTGACATGGAAGGTTAGCTGGCAAAGGAAGAAAGCCAGAGTAAGGCTGAAGAAAATAATGGCTTTGATTTATTAGAGGGGATATTATATTACTAATTAGATGGTCGATTATGGTGGAAAATAGATAACTTTTAGAAAATAGAGTAACATTATAATTAAATAGGTAAGATGTGTAACTAGACCAGGGGTAGGCAACCTTGGCTCTTTTATGACTCATGGACTTCAACTCCCAGAATTCCCGAGTCAGCTATGCTGACTCAGGAATTCTGGGAGTTGAAGTCCATGAGTCATAAAAGAGCCAAGATTGTGTACCCCTGAACTACACTATTAAACTTTGGTATGAAAAGGGAAAAAGGGAGAAGTTGATATAAGGAGAACTTTTGGTCACCTAAACATAAAGTACTTGGAAGTCATAAATAGTAGTGTTTTCTTGAATATTGATGGGAAATTAAAGTTTGGGGGGAAGCAACAATAGGACATTGTTCATATAAGGACATTAAGTGCAAATGCAATTAAGATACGTATGGGCTACAAAAAGTGCATATAGTCCAGGCCATGGTTTTCCCAGTTGCAATGTATGGCTGTGAAAGTTGGACCATAAGAAAGGCGGAGCGCCAAAGAATGGAGGCCTTTGAACTCTGGTGCTGGAGAAGATTCCAAGGTCCATCTCTGTTTAGCCTATTCTATCCTATCCTTGCTGGAGAAGACTCCTGCGAGTCCCTTGGACTGCAAGGCGTTCAAACCGGTCAGTCCTAGAGGAGATCAACCCCGACTGCTCTTTCGAAGGCCAGATCCTGAAGTTGAAACTCAAATACTTTGGCCACCTAATGAGAAGGAAGGACTCCCTGGAAAAGGGCCTAATGCTGGGAAAGATGGAGGGCAAGAGAAGAAGGGGACGACAGAGAATGAGATGGCTGGATGGAGTCACTGAAGCAGTAGGTGTGAAGTTAAATGGACTCCAGAAGATGGTAGAGGACAGGAAGACCTGGAGGAACGTTGTCCATGGGGTCGTGATGGGTCGGACACGACTTCGCAATTAACAACAACAACATGGGCTACAAAGTATTGATAAATGTAACAAGGATGTTTCTACTTAGTTGAAAATAAGAATTCTGTTTGCCCAATATGAGATAAAAGTCACTGGCACCCGACAGATTACATCCAAGAGTTCTGAAGGAGCTGGCAGATGTTATCTCAGAACCATTGCACCATATCTTTCAAAAATCCTCAAGCACCAGGGAAGTACCTGAGGATTGGAAAAGGGCTGATGTGGTTCCCAGCTTCAAGAAAGGAAAAAAAAAGACCCAGGAAACTATAGACCAATCAGTCTAAGATCAATACCTGGAAAGATCCTGGAAAAGATAATCAAAAAACAGATTTGTGAACAACTAGACCAGTGGTTCTCAACCTGTGGGTCGGGAGCCCATTTGGGGTCGAACGACCATTTCACGGGGGTCGCTAAACAATGCAGTCCGCCATTTTTTTCCCCTTTTCCTTAGTTGTGCTACTCCCTTTTATTCTATTGGCTTTTGAAAGCCAATAGAATAGACTCTCTTGAATAGAGTCTAATTCTATTGGCTTTCCAAAGCCAATAGGAATGGTCCAGGCTGTCTCTGCCCTGCTGAGCCCGCCAAAAGTCCCATTCTGCAAACGGTGCTGCACCAGTTGAGAAGTCCTCGCCTTACGACCGGTTGAATAGTCCTCGACTTACGACCAGTTGGGGGTCGTGGCATTAAAAAGGTTGAGAACCACTGAACTAGAAGCAAACAAAGTTATAACTAGTAGCCAGCATGGGTTGGTCAAAAACAGATCATGCCAAACCCATCTTATTTCATTCTTTGATAAAGTGACTCAATTACTAAACCAGTGAAATGCTGTGGACATAGTATACTTAGATTTCAGTAAGGCAAAGTAGACCACAATCTACTGTTTAGTAAGCTAGAAAAAGGTGGGATAGACAACATCACTACCAGATGGATCTGTAGCTTGCTGACAAACCATACTCAACGAGTAGTCCTCAATTGTACTACAACGACATGGAGAGAAGTAAGTAGTGGGGTATCACAAGGCTCTGTCTTAGGCCAAGTACTCTTCAATATATTCAATATCTTCATCAATGACTTAGATGAGAGAATTGAAGGGAAACTCATCAAATTTGCAGAGGACACTAAGCTGGCAGGAGTAGCCAACACCCCAGAAGACAAAATCAGGATCCAAAAAGATCTTGACAGACTTGAACAATGGGCCCTATCCAACAAAATGAACTTTAACGTGGAGAAAAGCAAAGTTTTATACAGGCGGGAAAAATCAAAGGTTTAAGTACAGATTAGGTGAGACCTGGCTCAAAAACAGCAACTGTGAGAGGGACCTTGGAGTCCTAGTGGGCGATCCCTTAAACATGAGCCAGCAATGTGCAGCAGCAGCCCAAAAAGCTAATACAATCCTGGGTTGTCTAAACAGAGGCATAGAATCAAGATCACGCAAAGTACTAGTACGGCTTTATAAAAGCCTAGTGAGACCACACCTGGAATACTGCGACCAATTTTGGTCACCATACTACAAAAAAAAATGTTGACAATCTGAAAAAAATTCAGAGAAGAGCAACTACGATGATTAAAGGCCTGGAGACTAAAACATACGAAGAACGGCTGCTTGAGCAAGGGGCTGGACTAGAAGACCTCCAAGGTCCCTTCCAGCTCTGTTCTGTTCTGTTCCAATCTATTGTGTTCTAAATCTTTATACTCATTTAAACTGCCTGGATCTCCTGATTTCTCCCACGCTTGACAAATCTACAATTGTGGCCTCTCTTTTAGGGAACTTTTTTCTTACCGAAAACAGCACACTTCTTGGTTGATACAATCCTTTGGTCCAAGGTTCCTGTGGTTTATAGGACAGGGAGGCCGCATGCAGTGTGCATTACATTTCCGGCACTCGGAACAAGCATTCCCTATTAAAAGGAAAAGAGGAGAGAAGTAATTGATGAGTAAAGCTACTTCGATATTTACATACATTTCACATTCCAAGACACCACTACCACTGCAGAATTCCTGTGACTTCCTTCCTTCCTTCCTTCCTTCCTTCCTTCCTTCCTTCCTTCCTTCCTTCCTTCCTTCCTGCCTGCCTGCCTGCCTGCCTGCCTGCCTGCCTCCTATATTGGTTTTCCAGTCCCTCCTTTATCCCCTATATACTATTGGATCCCTAGTCTTAATTCAAAAGAAAGATCAATGACATATTTTTCAGACCTTTATAAGCTCATATTGTCAATAGTCAATAGTCATTACCTCAAAAAGAATAAACAAAACTAAAAGGTGTCAGAATAACCAAATAACAGAGCTAGAAGGTACTTTGGAGGTCATCTAGTCCAACCCCCCCCCCACTCAGGCAGGAAACCCTATACCATTTCGGACCAATGGCTGTCCAGTTTCTTCTTAAAAACTTCCAGTGTTGGAGCATTCGCCGTTTCTGGAGGCAGGTTATTCCACTGGTTAATTGTTCTAACTGTCAGGAAGTTTCTCCTTAGTTCTAGGTTGCTTCTCTTGATCAGTTTCCACCCATTGCTTCTTGTCCTGCCTTCAGGCGCCTTGGAAAATAGCTTGACTCCCTCTTCCTTGGGGCAACCCCTGAGATACTGGAAGACTGCTATCATGTCCCCCCTTGTCCTTCTTTTCATTAAACTAGACATACCCAATTCCAGCAACTGTTCTTTGCATGTTTTAGCCTTCAGTCCCCTGATCTTTGTTGTTGCTCTTCTCTGCACTCTTTCTAGAGCCTCAACATTTTCTTTTACATCGTGGTGACCAAAACTGGATGCAGAATTCCAAGTGTGATCTTATTATCCATGATTGATATATTTCTAGCTAAAAGGTTTAGCTTTCATTCTAAAAGTTCTTTTTTTAAGCTTTTGCAAATTCTGACCCTCAGTTGAATGGTAGACCTAGAAAAGATGCATTAGACTACCATGCTTTCAAAGTTGATCATATTTGTTTAGAAAGGAGTGAGCTATCAATCCATTTTGAATTATCAGTAATTTAGTTTCTTACCTGGTTCAGGCAGGAATGCAAGTATAAGGAATGCGAAGAGCAGATAAAATACCTTCATGTTGGGATTGGTTCTGGACCAAATCTTACTGCTGGGACAGGACACAGCTCTCTATATATAGAGTTCTAATGTTTCATCACTCCACTTTGGTAAAATATTGCAAATATTTTTAGCAGTTACTTTTACCGTTCTTACATAAGGTATGGTTGCATCTTACTTCTGTTGAAATGCCCCTGTGGGTTTGCTTATGCAAAAATCCTTGGGAAAGCAAGAGTCTTGGTTGAACAGATAATCCGCTGTATGCCAAAGGTGCTTTTTTCAAGGGGCAACTGGCCTTCTTTTTTTCCCCTTTGAAGATGTTTTGCTTCTCATCCAATGCTTGGTCATAAGTCAAGGACTATCTGTACACTAAAATAACAAATTAAATGCAAAAATCCCCAGTTAAAAAAATGATATAAACCACAAATGTGAAGAGAAATCTCCCCCCAAAAACAGAAAACCCTATACCATATAAGGCAAATGATTATCCAATCTCTTCTTAAAAACCTCCAGTGTTGGAGCACCCACAACTTCTGGAGGCAGGTTGTTCCACTGATTGTTTCAAATGTTAAGAACTTCTTCTTCCTTGGTTGTAGATTGCTTCTCTCCTTGATTAGAATAGAATAGAATTGAGCTGGAAGGGACCTTGGAGGTCTTCTAGTCCAGAAGGAGAACCTATACCATTTCAGACAAGTGACTGTCTAGTTTCTTCTTAAAAACCTCCAGTGTTGGAGTACCCACAATTTCTGAAGGCAAAGCTGTTCCACTGGTTAATTGTCCTCACTGTCAGGAAGTTTCTCCTTAGTTCCAAGTTGCTCCTCTCTTTAATTAGTTTCCATCCATTGCTTCTTGTCCTGCCTTCAGGTACTTTGAAAAATAAGTTGACTCCCTCTTCTTTGTGGCAGCCCCTGAGATACTGGAAGACTGCTCTCCTGTCTCCCCTGGTCCTTCTCTTCACTAGACTAGCCATGCCCAGTTCCTGCAACCATTCTTCATATGTTCTAGCCTCCAGTCCCCTAATCAATTTGGTTGCTCTTTTCTGCAGTCTTTTAAGAGTCTCAACATCTTTTTAATAGAATTGCAGAGTTGGAAGGGACCTTGGAGGTCTTCTAGTCCAAGCCACTGCTCAAGCAGGAGACCCTATACCATTCCAGACAAATGACTGTTTTTATATTGTGGCAACCAAAGCTGGATGCAGTATTCCAACTATGGTCTTACCAAGACATTATAAAGCTGTACTGTCACACGATCTTGATTCTATCCCTCTGTTAATGCAGCCTAGCACTGTGTTGGCTTTTTTGGCTAATCTGCAGCACACAGATGCTCATATTTAAGTGATTGTCCACTAGAAGTCCAAGATCCCTCTCACAGTTACTACTATTGAGCAAAGTACCCCTTATACTATACCTGTGCATTTGGTTTTTCTTGCCTAAATGTAGAACCTTACTTTTTTCACCATTGAATTTCATGTTGTTAGATAGCGCCCAGTGTTCAAGTCTGTCCAGATCCTCCTGTATCCTAAGCCTGTCTTCTGGAGGGTTGGCTATTCCTGCCAGCTTGGTGTCATCTGCAAATTTGATGAGTTCCCCTTCTATCCCCTGTAGTCAATCTTTTTTTAGATCCCAAATAAATATATACACTCAACATTTGCTTGGCATATCAATAGTTGTATACTGCCAGTTGAAGGAAGTGTGTATGCAACAGACATATTCTAGTAGGTGTAAGAATTCCATACCTGCCCAAGGACTCTTATTCAACTGAACGAGAACTTCTAGAGAAGAGGGGAGAATCTTTCAAGATATATTTTCCTCCTTGCCTGCAATACCATACTGAAGGCTAAAACATATGAAGAATGGTTGAAGGAATTTGATACCTCTAGTTTAATGACAAGAAGAATGAGCGGTGATATGATAGTAGTAATCCAATATTTGAGGAGCTGCCACAAAGAAGATGGGATCAATCTATTCTTCACCTGAAGCACCTGAAGGCAGAACAAGAAGCATCTGATATCAATTGATCAAGGAGAGAAGCAACTCTGTACTAAGGAGAAATTACCGATGGTGAGAACAATGAATCAGTGGAATGACTTGTGGGTGCTCCATTACTGGAGGTTTCTAAGAAGAGACTGGAAACCATTTGTCTAAAATGGTATAGCTTGAGCAGAGGGCTGGACTAGAAGACCTCCAAGGTTCTACTCTGCTCTGCTTTGCTCTGCTCTACCCCATCCCACCCCATTCCATTCCAAACTCAAATGCATCCTGCCTATGAAGTTGGGCTGAGCAATTAAATTCCAAAGAATTGATGCCATGAGAAATGGATCGTGAGAAGGTCCTTTGAGGAGTTTGATCTTGGGTAGTGATGGACAATGAGTAGGCACTTGACCTAAGCTTTGCCTTGAAATTTAAGTTTCCTTCAGAGTTTAGAATATCACTATAGGTCCAGATTTTTTTCAAAGTCCACTAAATTTGGGTGTACAAATGCTCCCATTGTTGATAACCGCCCTGGAACTTTCAAATAGATTTTGCTTTTTAGTTTTCCCCATTTTGTTAACAATGCATTTCTTATATAATGATTTTGGAAATCAATTCCAAAGAATTGGTGCAGTGAGAAATGCATAGTGAGAAGGTCCTTTGAGGAGTTTGATCTTGGGTAGTGATGGACAATGAGCAGGCACTTGACCTGAGCTTTGCCTTGAAATGGCACCCAATTCTGGGATCCACAGATGGTCTCTCCATAACCTTGCTACAGAAGCTGAATGAAAACAGAAGTCAGCTATCAACAGGTGCACTCAATATTGGCAGATCAGTCAGATGGGGAATGATGCAATTTGCAGTTTTGGAAGGAAAGTTAAGTCAGTGCTCAATAATGTGGTTCTTTGCTCAAGAATGACAGGAAACAGGTGGTGAGGAAAGTCTGGAAACTGAATCTCTAAAAGTGCCTTGAAGCCTGTTGAGCTTTTATACAGTACAAGAAATGATCAATTATCTCACGTAAGGAGGGCATGCAGGAGAGGAAGTGAGGAAACCTCTATCCCAACTGACAGTCTTTGGAAATAAAGTTAAATGAGATAAAGAATAGAATAAGTTAAGACCACTGCTGACTTCCAGGCATAGAAGGGATTGAGGAGTGCTATTGGAAAATGAGGGAAACAAGCAACAAGAAAGATTAGGGGTCTGGAGGGAAAGTGACTAGAATGACCAGGCTGACTCTCCTGCTACTGCTCTGTTGGGTCTTGCCTCCAATTACTGCTAAGAGGATTCAGACCAGATGTGTGTTGCCAGAACATTTAAAGTTTCAATATGAATGGGAATTTTACAGGTCTGGTGATCTGAATGTTGGGGGCAATTTGCCTCTGGCAAGTTTTTTGCTGTTCAGAATCCCAGATTTTCAAAAGGACCCATTGCAACTTAATAATCAAATTGCATAAGGTTCACCTGGAGGGGAAAGATGTAGGTGGCAGTTTTCTTTGTTTCAGATTCAGGGGCTCCTGTAAGAAATACTCATTCTAGGGATCTTCAGATCTTTGTCCTTTACTCAATAAAGAGAAGAAATCAAGAAATAGGCTAGAATTTCCTGTGTTTCCAGAATTGTTCATGAGGAAGACGGCACACCAACTTAAAACGTAGGAGGAACAACGCCTCAGAGACTGTACTGGCCTAGCGAAGAAGCTGACCTATAACATTAATTTGGACATGAAGTCATAGTAAAAAAAAAAAAAAAACCTCAAGGGAAAGTTCAATCTTTTTCCATTGTGGGGTACTGTCAAAAAAAATCCCTCAGTTTGGGAATCAACCATGTGTGGGAAGTCAGAGCCCCAGAGAAGGAAACATTAAAAGGGCAGAAAAATATATTTTTCCTCAAAAGGATTTTGAAAAGCAGAAAGCAACTTTGCCCTCAAATCTCTTTGCTCCAAGTAGGAGCCAGTTCTATACAAATGCAAATGTAAACCATCAGAAAGGCCCCAGCTAGGAGATCAAGAAGACAGAGACTTAAAATCTGCATGCCCCACCCAAACTCTAGGAATCATTAGCCCCATCACCTGGGAAGCAGGATATGATAATAGGATTAAGCCTAGAAAAACACTCAGAAATAGCCTTAAGGTTCATGCCACAGAAACAGGAAACTATTCCAAACAAGGCTAGAGGGGGTATAAAAACCTACTACCCATGTGCTCAGCCCTTCTTTTCTCTGGTCTTTCCTGCAAGAACAATCTTTCTGCCTCTTCAATAAACTGTAACCTTCTTCCCAAAGCAGTCGCCATGTTGCTTATTTATTCCCGGCTTGGATGAACCAGGATGAAGACTTTAATCCAACATATGAATGATGGCCCATAGTAAATCTGCGTGGGGACCATCTTGTGCTCAGATCTGAAGAAGCTGCTCCAAGAGAGAAACAAATTGATTAGGGTTTTAGAAACAAATTGGGAAGGTGTTCAGGCACTGGAGCAAAGTGAAGAATAGAAGGCTGTAAAAGGATCTGGGATATAAACAAATGGGCTTTTCTCAGAAACCCACCCAAGTTTAATCAAGAAACATCCTTTAAAAAAAGCCAAAACAACCCAAGGAAACATGTGACTTATTGCTCCAAGGACACACAAAAAAGGCAAGGCCAATCCCACCAGCACACAAGACCTTTCCTATAATCTCCTGAACTATAAGTGGTGGTTTAAGCTTTGGGGAAATGAAAACTGACTTATAACAATATTGTGAAGATGACTGAGGCATAAAAGAAGGATAACTTGGAAAACTTTGGGTTTTATAAACTTTACTTGACTCTCAACTCCATCTTTGAATTAGCAACAAGAGACACAAAGATGTTTTTCCCTTTTTTTAATATAAGCTTCTTATTCATTTTTTCCATACAAACAATAATAATTTTTCAATCAACGTGCTGTCTGAGTTTACATATGCTAATACATATTTAACTCCTAATCTTTTATTCTTTCCTCTAGCCAATGGTAAAATAAATCCCAGGTTTGATAATAGTCTGTTTCTTCCTTTTCTTTCAATCTCATAGTCAATCTGTCCGTCTCTGCGCA